GCGCAATAGATTAACTCAATAACACAAAAGTGATGATAATAAATACTAAAAATAAACGTTTAATAAAGAAAGATAAATAGTACAAAACACGATACAATGTGTCACCCCAAATCGATAACAAGCGCATTGATTAATCGTATCTTGTAATTAAAAATAAATGAACTTTTCTTATAAGTTTATATTATACTAAAATTCTAGTTGTTTATATGTTTGTATATTTTTTTTGTCTATTTGGTTACATAAGAGCATCTGCACTATGTGTAGAATTCTGAAGTACGAATTTTTGTAGAGAATAATGTTTTTTTTTTACCAGACTGTTGAACACAAATTTATTTGAAGACGTTATTTAATTTATTGATATATTTGTTGGTACTAACTCCACTTGAATTATTAAAGTTCAAAACAAGAAACTTTTTTTTCAGAAAAATTAGAAATCTTTCACCGGCTTAGTGACGTTACTTGATTTATTTACTTATTTTAAAAACAAGCATGGCGGATTCCATGGAAGGCCATGTGCCCCATTCAAAAGTTTGACGCTTTATAAAGCTAAATGCACAAATCTGTTCTAATTCATTAATATTATTTTGACGTCAGCTTTAATAGTTTATTTATTTATTATTCAAATGAGGTTCGAGCTCAGAAAATATTATAGAAATAACCGATTTTTTTTTAAAGTCAAAAACCTGTAAGAAGAGGTGTAACTTCATTTTAGATATGAAAAGTTGCCTTTAGGGACCTTACGAGACAATGGGCAGGTGAAGTACAGCTCAACTTTGACCTCACCATATGAAGGGATATTGTTGTCAGACCCATGCTCAATCGAAATTGGTGTTTTAAAAAGACAAAAACATGTTGTCTGAGTAGTGACGTCTTTTTGAATGTGGGGTCTGGCTTTTCGTGACAATATGGAGGGGAAGGGAAAAATAAAAATCGTCAAATATACGTGACTTCCTTTATGGATGACCCTCCAAAACGCATAGTTATCCAATGATAACGGGTAGTCTAGTCTATATTTAAATGTATACACAAAATTTAAAATGTTATAAAGTTCCATTACTCAAGCTGCGCCGGATATATGCTTTTAGTTCCGAAGAGAGATAAACATGCTAGGGGTGGGGGTTGGAGCTCTATAAGTAGTTTTTTTAAATTCTAAAATTTAAATATATTGCACAAGTTTAAGCAAGCAGATAGATCAGACAATGCTAATGTTGAAAATAGAACTGTTAACATTTTATACACATCATTAATTAAAATTATTATGGTTAAAGTATTTGTTTTTATAAAATTCACACAATTTGGTAAAAAGTTTATTATAAAATACAAGAAACAGTGTGGTTTGTAATTGAAAGGTGCATAGGGCCTACACGGCTAACATAAAATGACATCAGACACAAATTGTATTGTTCAGTGATAATTAAATTTCGTATATGTATGTATTGAGTTTCCGTTGTAATTTTTCACGAAGCCACAATTTGATAGTTTAAAATGTACGGAAACACTTATAATGGCAACGCTTAGTCTTGCAGTTTGGGATCCCTTCATTATTACTTAAGGGAATGGGCGGGTGATGAGTACCAACTTCCTTATTTCCGAGTCTAAAGATGTAATACTTGGCTAATAGTTATAACTCAAAGAGTTAAGCATAAACATATTTTTTTTAACTTTTTAAATCTTCCGTTGCCATGGTGACTGCGGCCATATTGGATGGTTTGTACAAATTTCATGAAAACTTAATATAGTCTGCAGACACATGTGTTCAAGATTTCTGATAGATTACATTTTCAAAAAAGAAAATTGTTTTTTTTTTTTTTTACTTTTTTTTCAAACATTACTGTAAAAATTTCATTATTTCGTCAAATTTTTTCACTATTTCAACAACAAAATGTTTTTTTTTTACAAAAATTCCAAGAGTGTTCTATCAGTTTTATTTGAACATATATAAAGAGTAACTGGAGCAAATTTAGTTCAGTTCTGATAATTATTAACAAAGTTATTTCAACAAATGTACAAAAAAACATCAAACTGAGAAAAACGCAAAAAACTAACAAAAAGTTGCAAAAAAAAAAAGAAAATTTATCGCTGTATGTCACTAAAATCGACCACATTTATAGCCTGAAGTATGGTGCTGCTGAATATATTCCTTCTGAGCTTGTTCAGCTGTTAGTTTTCGTTTTTTCTGGCGCTCTTTGTTTTACCTAGAGCTGTAGTAAAGCTGTTGTCATGGCGTCTTTTTTGGCGTCCTTCACTGGGTCTTCGACTATGGTTTCCTTCTTTTGACAGCAATGCCATAGCATGCCTGGACCCAAAATTGAATTATGCTATCGCAGAAACAGCAGTATATTTTGCATGGTCTCATGTCTAAAGCCAAGACGATGTCTTTGTTTATTGTGAAAGGTCTTGTTCTGGATTATTTTGCAGTTGTATACTTACAGTTTACAACATTTTTATTACTGCCACACCATGCTTGAAGCAAACCCTTTACACTTTTTTCATCAATAGTAGCCACTACATCACAGTGGGCGAGGAAATGTATTGATAACTTCAAGAAGCAAATCATAGTCGACAATAATTCTGCATGGCTGTGGTTTACAATTAGCTCTACCAGTACTAGATGTAACAGTGCTTTCTTCTGTCTGTAAAAACTGTGTCTCACATTGCCGCAGTTTCTTAGTAAATGTGCATATTACATCTGCACCACTGCTTGTCTGAATAGTGCTAGATTGAGTAGAGGTAGCTGCAATCAGTTGCATTCGGACGTGCCCTTGCTTTAGTAAATTAGTTAGATGTGTGTATCTATTTTTAGCGAGTGTTTTCTTCTACCCATTATCGAAAGAGAAACAAATTAAATCGTCTCACTGCTTATGATAATTCACACAAACTAATCTTAATTGTTAATAGTATATTTAATTGAAATAATTATATGTTAAAATAATGTAAGTATTTCACAGAAGCTTAGAGAAACAAAACTAGATCAAACTTAGCAACGCGCTGAAACTAAGGGAATGTTTACTTCCGAAGCGAAACGACCAATCGCTAACTTGCTTCCGCAGTTGTATGCCAATGAAAAAATTGAGGTAAAAAATTTGCATATCGGAAAAACCCGACTGAGTAAAATAAACAACTTTATGACGTAGAAAAATAATCACATTAAAATAGGTATTTTGATTGGTCATTTAATTTTAGAACAAATGAAGAAAGGAGGTCACGGCCTTTCCATTAATATGAAACACATTAGGTTTCCGCGAAGCCTAATAGTACTTTTCTAGGTCGAAAAATGGCTATTTTTACCAAAAAACTAAACAAAAGACCCTGTACACACTACATTGAACCCGGTGTTTCATAAATAAATACTGTTTTTAGGGTCATAACAATGTCATTTTTAGATTCAACGATGGTTATTCTGTATAGATCAAGTAAAAGTGGGAAATCGATGATTTAGTGGATTTATGACGAAAAGTACACCCACCCATGCCCTTAAGGACAAAGCGCGTTATTTCTTAAATTTCTTTGCTGGAGTAACCTTACAAATTTGAAAAAAAACAAAAACAAACAACACCACGTTTGAATAATAGAATTCCTTTTCCACCTCGTGTGAAAATTAAAAACAAATCGACTTTTGATTGGTCATTTAATTTTAGAACAAATAAAGAAAATAAATAATATATATATATATATATATATATATATATATATATATATATATATATATATATATATATATATATATATATATATATATTCTTAATTCATATTTACGTTTTAAGTATAAGTGCTTTATTTGAAAGAGTGAATATTTCTTCTACTTAAATACTAAATTCAACATCTGGTGCAGAATTATAAGGTTCTGTCTTCTATTGTCGGTTTTTATACCACTAAAACTGAAACTTTGTAGTCCCATACACATAGTATCGAATAATGTTCAACAGCATCGTATAAGAATAGCAGCCCCATATTTCTTAAATTCTAGGTCTATTCATGTGTAGTTTATCAATTATTTTGTTACCCTATGAGTATTATACTATTAAAAAGTGTTTGGACTAATAATTTAGTGTATGTCAATATCACATTATTTTAACGCATACATGCTTGAAAATATAATCAACTTTTGCTTCATGAACAATCCCCAAAATACTAACTATTTAAGTCATAGCATGCATAATTTATCACCGAAATAGCAAATGTAAGAACAATATTATTAAAAGAACCTTGCAAATATGTATCTAGTCATCGGTAGATAAGCAAATATAAGATATGAAGTATTTGTAATATTTATACTTATTAAATAACTGAAAATACGTTTAAATAACAGGCAATACGATTTATTAACTAAATATTAACTAAGTATTTTAGATTGTAGGGATTGATCTTTTAATTATGTCAGAGTTTGCCTGAAAAGTTAATATTCGAAAGTTAAAAATTGTTTACCATTGCCAGTAGTGTACAAAAAAAAAGCTTAAGGCTCCTAAGGCAAACACTCTTGTAAGTAGTTAAGCTTAATACTATTGCCAGAAATAGATCTAGTACATCATTTCTGAAAAGCACAAAATTCTATTTGTCCTAGCTACCGGTGGGTTAATGAAGATAAAGCCTTAAATTTCTAAATCAAACACTTCTTTTGAAGAAATAACTAAATTTCTTTTACGGATACAACTGGTAGATTGTTTTAATTTGAATAAAGTTTAAAGACATCATAGCAAGATTAATGGCAAGTGGTCAAACCACTTCTTCAAAAAGTGGAAAAAGAACCCTATGATTCTAGCGTGTTACAATATTAGAATTAAAATCTTCAAATTAAAACTAAAAATAATATATAATTAAATTATCTACTATTAAATTATCAAAACACACATTTTATGGCATAAAAAATGGTTTACTTAACTAAAATAATAATAATTTGGAATAGAATGATACGAAATACAAACAATCAAGTTTTTATAAGCACATATCTTAATAACATTAAAAATCATTTAAAAATCTGATAGAATTGGAATATATTTAATAACACATTGAAGTTAATACTTAATTAAAACTAGTACCAAAATTCTAGATTCCTGTTTGTTTCTATGAAGTTTGTATTCCTAAATTTTAAAAGGTAAATTGTTTCTTGATTAGAGACTTGATTGTTGCCCTGGCAATTATCATCCGGTTAGTTCTGCAGAATTAGATATACATTTAGAAAAAAAAATGTGGCTTTTCTATACGACTTATTAAAGGTATATATATATATATATATATATATATATATATATATATATGTATGTATATATATATATATAGGCTGGTTCATATTTCACTATATGTTTTTAATTTTTCAACGATTCCCCCACTACCCTTATTGGGTTCCAGTTTGTGCAATACAATAGTCAGTTGAAATATTTTTCTGATGAGAACATATTTGGGTGTAGCTACCAGAGACAGAAAACTTATAATTTTTACTTTCTCGTATATACGAAGTATAGAAAAAGTCTTGTAATCGTGCACAAAAATCACATTAAATTTGGACAGTTTTCACCGTTTTACTCCTCAGTCCTTCATCACATCCGGGATATAGAAGACTTATTTTAATCGGGCAAAAATTATAAACTCAGATATATAAAAATTTTGGCGTTTTATGCATAATGGAGTTGGAAAAACTGGATTATCCAATTCTGTCCGTGTGTGTGTCCGTGTGTAAACACGATAACTTGAGTACCGTTACAGCTAGGTTGATGAAATTTCATATATAAGTATTTTATCAAAATGTAGATCCGTATCAACTTTTTAGCGATTTCCAATAACCGGAAGTGGTACTTTTCCTACTTTGAATTTTTCAAAAGCCTATAACTAGAGTACTATTTCAGATAGTTAAATGAAATTTCACATGTAAGTAAAAGATCTAATTCTCTACCTTCTATCAAATTTTGAGTAATTTCTGTTGACCGGAAGTAGTAATTTACGCTACTTCCGATTTCTCAAAAAAACTAATGTAACTTTTTTAAGTACTAATAATATTGCGCACTATTATGCACTTTTTTATTTGGCGTTCACTTGGTGTGCAATTCTTTTTTCTACGAGATTATATTCTATTTTTAAAAAAATTGAGTATTTAAAATGGATTAAAAATCATGTCTAGAAGTCTATATCCCGAGTTGCCATCCCCCGTAGTGTTATATTAGAATATTCGAGAAAGTTTAGGGGAGATCACTCCCGGTTTATTTTTTAGATTTAACACGAATGCGGATACATATGGCAAACAGTCCGTCTATTACTATTAAAGAAAGTTATAATTGTTGAAATATTTTTTAAGCATTTAATGGTCATTTGTAAGTCCACATTTTTTATTTTAGTAGCCGAATCTATTTTGGATTATCGAATTTGTTTGTTATTTGGAAGTTTATTGGTTTCACACAGTAAATGTCAATAATTTAAATTTAGATCCAGTTTTTAAACTCGCCCACCGTATAAAAGAAATAAAAAAATTAATAATGCTAGTCATTATCTAAAACAGCTTATAATACACTCACCAAAATTAATACGAATACTACTAATGTTAGTCATTCAGGAAAACAATTTAGTTTTGTTTGGAAAAAGGAAATAATGAAATTAAAAAAAAAAAATTTTTAGAGGGAATACTGTAATCGTGTTAGAAATCGAAATCAAGAAAAACTTAGCTCTGCAAATATTTTGACTAAATTTCATATTTAAGTAATTTATCTAATTTGGTGTTAACAATCAACCTTAGAGCAATTTACAGTCAAAGGTAGTGTTGATTACTCTTTTTCGGGCTTCTCAAAAGCCAACAGCTTAAGTACTATTTATGTTAGAAGGACGAATTTTACATATAAGTATTAAATTGTATGTTCAGATTTTCTCCACTTTTGAAAGTTTTCCAGAAGTTGTACTATACTCTGTTCCCTTGGGAACAGTATAATACGTTAGGTAGATGGAACTGATACTCTACTAGTTTGGCTTTTTTTCGATATAAAAAGTGTAAGTACCGATTCAGTTAGGTTGAATTTTTTTTTTTATATTTATAAGCATAATACGCTGGTTTATTTCTACGTATGAGTTATTTCCGGTAAACGGAAGTGTTATTATATTCTATTTCTTTGTGAACACGAGAACGTGAGTACCATTTGAGTTAGCTGGTCGAAATTTCATATACAAGTATTAGATCCGGTTCAGAAGTTTCTTTCGACTTTTGTGTGGCTTCCGGCAAACCAAGGGACTACTTTGCTCTATTTTTGATTTTTCGAATAATATGATAATTTGATATAAATTCTCATAAAGCAACATATTGTAATAACTTTTCTTCGCTATGCGTTTTCCCTAAAAACGAGCAGTTTTGTCATATACTTCTTTACTACTAATAGACCAATTCCAATTCCAATGGAAGTGCAAACCCGACCAAGATTGCTATATAAGAATTTTATGTAATTTTTTTTATCTCATTTTGTTTTGTTTATTTTACAAAAAGCATTTTATGCTGTTTTTTTTTAAAAATAATTTTTCTACAATCTTTACTCCTTTTAATAAGAATAAATAAGTTGACTTTTTAATCATAATTTATGCTGAATTTGAAATCATACTGAGTCTTATTCCAACGCCCAAATATAATCTTTTTAAAACTTAATGTTTCTTTTCAAAATACGGAACCCAATTTCAATGTGTCTCGTTGAAAAATCAAAATTTATTTCCAAAATAAGGCCCATCTAAATAAATAAACACACATACACACACATGCACACACCCACACACACAAACACAGTCCGGTATGATCCCCTCATACCAATATTAATTCTGTGGATACAACTCCTCATCACACTATACTTATACACATTAATATAAAAGTGTATTTCTTAATATAGCTTAATTAAAGCAATAGAATATGTATTTCTTATTACCAGATTCTCTGTTTCAGCTTGCCCTTTGTCCTTTTTCCCATAAAGTTTGCTATCTTTCTCTATATTCAAATCCTCTAGAAGGGAGTAGTTGAAAATAACAAATTGAATGTTTATCTGTGGCATTTGCTTTAAGCGAGTGAATTATCGAAATTGTTTTAATTTTATATATTTAGAAAATTAAAGCACCAAGGTATTTTATGTTAAAATTGAAACGTTTAATTTTTAATGTGACTACGTAAGAGTTATTTGCAATACATCTCCGTTAATTACTATTTATTTACGTTAAAGATTTTAAAAAAAAAATTGTCCAAAATATGTGGTATCTTATACAAACTGGGTTAAACATTATGATTTATTTTATTTTTGTGAGAAGACAATTTCTTACTTGCGTTGCTAAATTCTTTAATCAGTTGCAGAATATCGCTGAATTGACTGGCCATAGGTATAGCTTCATTTAGTTCTTCTTTACGGTGTTTTCCTATTTCCAAAAGTATCTTTACAATGTCATGATGACCTTCCTTTGCACTGACAACTAACGCTGAGTGACCATTTAAATTTTTTTTATGTATGTCAGCCCCTTTTGTTATAAGGGTTTCAACGATATCAGCTTTACCAGTGTAAGCACATGAGATCAATGGAGTGTTTCCATCCAAATCCGACAAATTAATATCTGCATTTTTTTTCAACAGTGCTTCTACAATATTCAAATGCCCACTTTTAGCACTGACGTTTAGCGCTGTAGAGTGATGTTTGTTTTTTTCATCAACAGAAGCTCCAGCTTCTAGAAGACATTTCACTGTATATAAATGTCCTTTTTCTGCAGCCATGATCAGCGCTGTGTTTCCGAGTTCAAAATCTTTCAAATCTAAAGTAGATTTTATTTTATGACAAAGGAGAAGATGAACTAAATCTGTGTGTCCATTTTGGGCACATAACATCAAGGGAGTATATCCTTCCCCGTTTAATGCTGCAATATTGGGCTCATATTCTAACAGCAAACTGACGGCACCGTAATGGCCGTTTGAAGCACACGTATGAAGTACTGTGTTTCCATCACCGTCTGTAATATCAATTTTAGCTTCATTTTGCAATAAAACTTTTATACATTCTGTATTTCCGAGTTTACCGCAATACAATAATGCTGTCCAACCATTCTCGTCACAACGATTTACATTAACATTAGACTCGATGAGGACTCTGAGGATGTTTGCATCTCCTCGCTTAGCTGCCATCATCAAAAGTGTTCTTTTTTTCTTGTCGACAATTTTTCCATCAGCACCTTTTCTAATTAGCGCGCGAATAATATTAGGTTTTCGTTTTTTATTGGCCAGCATAATGGGCGTGTTACCGTACTTGTCTGTTTGATTTACATTAGCGCCTTTTCGCAACAGCACATCAACAGTTTCTTCATTTCCAGAAGATATTCCAAAACCCAATGCACCTGCGCCGTTTACGTCAACGATGTCGATATTGGCCATGTTTGACAGCAATAATCTAACTATTGAAGCGTCACCTTTGAAAGCCGCATTTATTAAAGGTGTCTTACCGTCTGTATCTCGTGCGTTCACATCTGCTCCAGCTTCAATTAACAATTTCACTACATTATAATGTCCATGCCCAGCAGCTATATGCAGAGCGGTAACTCCTTCTCTTGAACGTGTATTATAACGAACTCCAAACTCCTTAAGTAAAGTGCAAATCTTGATGTTACCAAATTGAGCTGCAAGCATCAGTGCATTCCATCCTTTTGTTTCGACCACATTAATGTCCTCCGTTTTGTCTATCAACAACCTTACAGCATCCTCCTCTTTGTTTGTGTGAGCAGCAAGTAAAAGTGGCGTTAGTCCATCTACGTTGATAACATTCACTGAAGCGCCAGCTTCTAATAGTTGTTTTACAACATTGGTATTGGTTGCTAAACAAATTGGCTTGTTTCCCATCTCGTCGCAAAAATTAACATCAGCTCCTTTCTCGAGGAGTTCTTTTACAATATTGCCATTTCCTTGCCGGGCAGCTAAATGTAAAATGCTCAAGCTACCCTCATTAATTTTCTTATTTAGTAATTGCTTCGTGTTTTCTATCCTGTTTAAGAGTAACTTAACAACGTTTTCATGATTTTGCAATACTGCATAAAATAAAGCACTGCCGTAGTTTTTTGTCTCTGCTAGTGCCTCTGCCCCGAAATTCAATAGTTCTTCAGCAATGTTACAATGACCGTTTTGACAAGCACACATTAATGGTGTGATTCCGGAATTATCTTTAATATTTACATCGACTCCTTTATTCAGAAGAGCTTTTATGATGCTATGGTTGCCTCCTAAGGAGCTTACAAACAGTGGTGTTCGGCCATGTTTATCCGGAATGTTTACGTTAGCTTTCAGTTTTATTAGTTTTTTAGCAGCATCTGTTTGGTCTTTAGCTATTGCAATAAGTAATGCAGTATGACCTATTTTATTTACATGGTCAATCATTGCTCCATTTTTGACAAGCAGTTTTATTAGTTTCACATGTCCATGCGTAGCGGCAATCTCTAGAGCTGTCCCACCAGAAATCTGCGTAGCGTTCACATCTGCCCCATGTTGAATGAGTAGTTTGGCTGTATCGGTGTGATTAAACTGAGAGCATATCATGAGAGGAGTCCAGTGTCTCAAGTTTCTCGAATCGACATCAGCACCTTTCTCTATCAATAGTTTAACAATATATGTTTGTTCATTATGAGATGCCATCATAATAGCGTTATGACCTTGGTAATTTTTAACATTAATGTCGGCTCCTCGACGTATCAGATCAAGTACAATATTTGAATTTCCCCCCATTATTGCTATTAGAAGATTAGTATTACCATCAAGCATACCAACATCAATGTCTGAAGTTTTTTCTGCAAGCGTATTTGCTATATGCTCATCCCCTGCAATGCATGCCATGGTGAGAGCTGTTTGGTCTTTTTTATTTTTTATATTTACATTGGCTCCCCCTTCCAAAAGCTTTATAACAAGTTCCTTTTGGTGATTAAGTGCACATAGCATTAGAGGTGTAGCATCTTCGAGTGGATCTATGCGATTAATGGAGCTAATACCTTCTGTCAATTTCTTTTGTACATCATCTTCATTTAATTTCAGCTTTGGTAGTTGAAGATTAGGCCGTACACTTTGTAATCCACTAGTCGGATTGCTATTTGAACGACTACCCTCCATTAAGTTTTGAAACTCCGCAAATGCTGATTGTAGCTTTTCGGGGTCAATTTCATTGACATCTCCTAAGGTATCCATCCCATTTCCCATTTTCTTCTGTTAATTAGTAAGACAATGGATTTTAAAATCATTAGAACTAAATGTAGAAATTGTTTGTTAATCGCCGTAATTTTTATTAATTTTTAAAACTTACTCTTTAAGCCTAGCTCACAATCTAAAGTTTTGTATTTGTAGATTAACTGCATTGTTTTGTTCATTACTCAATTATTAAAATTGCATTAATGAATATCTAATAATATATAAAAATACACAATAAAGTTTAAATTTTGACCAGAGAAAAACAGCACTAACTTGTCTACTCTATATAACAAATGACTGGATAAATCACTTAAAACACTTGTTTACAGTTATAGTTTTTATTATTTAAAAGCGTTTGAAATTAGTAGTAAGGATACGATTTGTATAGTAAAGTTAGGCCGAAGGGGTCATAAATAATTAAAAGTTGCCTTTATGTAAGCCCTGCTAGGGGGGGATATCTTAAAATCTATCTAACTGTCCGGGTCAGTGCAACCGTGGTGAAACCCACGGTGGTTATATCTTATCCTTAGTCTAAATAAAAAACTACTAAAATAAAACAAAAACTTTTACAGTTAATAAAATTTATTCAACAAAATATGGAACCAAAAGTTATAAAAAAAGAATAGATAAAACCTGACACAAAACAGAACCAAACGAAACAAACTTTTTACATCAAACAAAACACCCAATTTCGGACTTCGTCCTAGAAAAAGGAAAAACAAAAATTTAACTAGACTAAAGCACTGACCCCACTCGTGCTACCAATTTGTAAGCCCTGCTAGGGGGGAAGGGATACCTAATATCTACCCTTCCCTAGGCTTATCTAACTAACTACTGTCCGGTCAGTGCAAGCCCGGATGAACCCAGACTGGTTAATAACCTAACCTTAGTCTAAATAATAAAACTACTAAAAATAAAACAAAAACTTAAACAATATAATAAAATTTATTTAACAAAATAAATATGGAACCAAGCTTATAAACAAACTAGAATTTAGGTAAAACAGAACACTAGAGACATACAAAACAGAAACAGAACTCAACTAAACAAAACACCCAATTTCGGACCACCGTCCATACACCACATAAACGTGACACAGAAACTCTTCAACACACAGGCCTCGACATTCCAGCAGAATGTCCCTCCAGGTCGACACACCACATTCACGAACAAAGAAACCAATACGACGAACAAAGAAACCAATGCTGCGCACAAGAAAATAGTCCCTAATACAATAATAAGTAACATTCAGGACATAAAGCAAAGTGGAGCAACAATCCAAAACAAAGTTTGCATAAATAATAACATTAAAATATAAACAAGACACAATAACCAGGCTACAAACCATTGTAAAATCAAAATCATATCAGCGCTATAATAGCGGACTACTTAACTAAATACCACAACAATCCTCAAAGGAACATAAAAAGCGACATTCGCCTTCTTAGTTACAAATAATTATAATAACAGATAAACACACTCCAGCCGGTCACATACTACATCAGGTGGTCCGGAGATGAGGATCCAGGGGCAGAACCTGCCTATTTAGTAGTTTTATTATTTAGACTAAGGTTAGGTTATTAACCAGTCTGGGTTCATCCGGGCTTGCACTGACCGGACAGTAGTTAGTTAGATAAGCCTAGGGAAGGGTAGATATTAGGTATCCCCCCCCCCTTAGCAGGGCTTACAAATTGGTAGCACGAGTGGGGTCAGTGCTTTAGTCTAGTTAAATTTTTGTTTTTCTGTTAGGACTAGGTTAGTTTAGATAAATTTTTTTCTTGATAGGCCCTTTATGGAACCATTTGTGTTTAGTTTTTGTTTAGTGTAGGAACCGTTTGTTGTTTAAAACACCCAATTCGGACGAGATGGCGGAGGTGGCACCAACCATCATCATCGTTCCACCCAGGGAGATCCTCATCAGGAAGTTTCATGGTGACAGCCATGGCTACGAGGTGGACCGGTTCATCAAAGAGGTCCAGTCCCTCTGGAGGGCCAGGGAAGAGAGGAAGGGCCTCCTCTGGCAGTACCTGGGGGAAGCGAGAGGAGCTGAGCTGCAGGGGTGATGACCTGCAGCACGACCCAGAAGCCACCCTCAGGCTCCTCAGAGAGGTGTACGGCGAGAAGAGGAGAGTACCGCAGCTCATGGCCCAGTTTCAGATGGTTGTACAGGGCCAACACGAGTCGGTGAGGGCCTACTCGCACCGACTGCACAGGGCCTTCAAGACCCTGGTTACGAGGCAGAGTGCCCTGCAGGTCCCACAGAATGATGCAGGGTTTCTTCGAGACCAGTTCGTGGAAAACCTGAGCCAGGCCACAGTCAGACACCATCTGCACGAGCTGATTTTCCGGGACCCTAAGATCCCCTTCCTGGCCATACGGGATGCGGCCATTCGATGGTCTGGAGACGAGGACCCTCTTGCTGAACCTGCCTACGTGGCAGCAATAAATGCCAGGCCAATCGAAAAATGTTCGTTCAGGTCCAAGCTGGAGGACAAAGTCAACAGGCTCACAGAGCAGCTTGCTGCTCTGCTGAAGCACTTTGCGCGGGACACCAAATTGTCCAATGTGCGCCAAGCACCTCGCAAGCGCACGGAGGTCCAATCAAAGGGCTGCTATAACTGTCGCCAGAGGGGTCACCTCGCCCGTCATTGCCATATGGCAAAGAAATATGAGCCCAAAGGGAATCAAGTGACACCGAAGGTATGGCGAGGGGACAAGGTCCTACGCCCCCGCGAAAGGACTCTGGTGCCTGCCAAGGGTATACCAACCATTCAGGCGACGGAATTAGACCCCAGAATGAAGGATGACAAGGTGGTACAGCCATTAGACCAACCTTTTCACCCAGATCCGTCAGTGGTATCAGGCCCAACATCCTGCCTACGCGCCAGCATAACCAGTGTAAAGGTGGACCAATCTGAGGAACTAGAGGCAATGGTTCCACCTAACCCATCCTTAATTAAGGCACCGGGTGGTGGTGCTGGGGCATGCCCCCAGAGAGAGTTAAGCAAGAAGGACAAACAGGTCAAAAAGGCACCTGTAGCTGAACTGGCCATAGGCGACCTGGTCCTTCTGAGACAACCCCAACTTGGCAGACGCAAAATAGCAGACCTGGACGGCCCGACAGTTTATGTCGTGGTCGAATTACCTCCGATCACCGGCGGGTGTTACGCCATTAAAAAGAAAGATGGCCCTTCTGGCACCCGCCGGGTGGCCAGCACACAGATTAGGAGATATGTGCCTCCCAAGGCTCAACCGCCCTCGCCAAGGCCGGTCAAAGTTGTACCGCCGGCTGCTGCAGCCACATCGTCTGATTTTTTTGCAAAATTTAGTTTTTTGTAAAATTTATGATTGTGCCCTGTGGGCTGATTTTTTTTTGCAAGTTCTTTTGCAAAATTGTGTTTTGCAAAAAATTGTGATTGTGCAAAGTTTTTGTATTTTTGTAACATTTATGATTATGCCCTGTGGGCTGATTTTTTTCAAGTTATTTAGCTTGCGGTGACCGCAAGCTTTAAGGGGCGTGTATGTGACCGGCTGGAGTGTGTTTATCTGTTATTATAATTATTTGTAACTAAGAAGGCGAATGTCGCTTTTTATGTTCCTTTGAGGATTGTTGTGGTTTTTAGTTAAGTAGTCCACTATTATGGCGCTGATATGATTTTGATTTTACAATGGTTTGTAGCCTGGTTATTGTGTCTTGTTTATATTTTAATGTTATTATTTATGCAAACTTTGTTTTGGATTGTTGCTCCACTTTGCTTTATGTCCTGAATGTTACTTATTATTGTATTAGGGACTATTTTCTTGTGCGTAGCATTGGTTTCTTTGTTCGTAGTATTGGTTTCTTTGTTCGTGAATGTGGTGTGTCGACATGGAGGGACATTCTGCTGGAATGTCGAGGCCTGTGTGTTGAAGAGTTTCTGTGTCACGTTTATGTGGTGTATGGACGGTGGTCCGAAATTGGGTGTTTTTTTCAGTTGAGTTCTGTTTCTGTTTTGTATGTCTCCAGTGTTCTGTTTTACCTAAATTCTAGTTTGTTTATAAGCTTGGTTCCATATTTATTTTGTTAAATAAATTTTATTATATTGTTTAAGTTTTTGTTTTATTTTTAGTAGTTTTATTATTTAGACTAAGGTTAGGTTATTAACCAGTCTGGGTTCATCCGGGTTTGCACTGACCGGACAGTAGTTAGTTAGATAAGCCTAGGGAAGGGTAGATATTAGGTATCCCCCCCCCCCCTAGCAGGGCTTACATTTAGCTTATTTACATTTTCAGATGAGCTAAAGCACGTACTAAAATTTGTAAGTCGACCTGGTGCTTATCCTTTAGAAAACCATCTACATGCAGATGTACACTAAATTAATCATCCCCGCATTTTTATTGAAATACGCCTCAGCCTCATCCCCTAATATATTTCCCATCCAAAAAGGAAAAAAGTGCATTGTATAAACATAATAAAAGAATATTTTGTTTCGCTGTGAAAGGTACATTTTTAAGAAGGTATTATAAGACTTCGATAATATCCTGAAAAATCTTTCACGCTTTCGTTTAAACCGAGTAGTTAAATTGAGCTTTCAAATATATAAAGCTCAATTCTGTATGTAACATGCAATAAGTTTGTTTGTCGTTGACATACTTCTATGGATTTAAGTGTTAGACTATTACCGTGCTCATAGTCTAAATTTATGAGTTAAAAAATTACTATTGAAAGTGTTGGGAAATAATTTTCATTTTTCAAACTGATAGTAATAATTGTCGGCATGTTCATTAAACACAATTTAAAAAAAAATAAAAAAAATTCTAATTATCTCTGAAAATTATTTATATTTAGTCCTTTAGCACTTACTTCCCTTTGATAAATTAGGAAAACACAATTACTTCCCTTTATAAAACATTGCATTAGTGGAAAAGAATTTACTTTTTATTACATTGTTTTGGTGTTGGGAAGAAAATAATTACATAATTAGCGGGGATTGATCAAGTGCAAATGTTGTAGGTATTTTACGAATAAGCTTGGAGTA